GCCAGTCGATTAAAATGATAAATGTTCATCCAACACTGATCAAAGGTTATGCAGCTCTAACACGAAGCTGGGGTAGCTCGATACAGACTGTAGTAAAGAACAAAAAACAAAGTGCACCAACCTTGCGCATTACCTCACTAAACAATTTGTAAATTTATTGATAAATTATACTCACAAGAATAGCAGTAAAAAAGGAATATAACATCCAAAACCAACACAGGGTTAGGAGACACGTGCAAATTCCATCCGGAAGGGAGATAAACTCTTGGTCAAGTTGACCCTTTCAAAGGGGGGTCCCTTCTTCCTCAGAGGGCAAAATACAAGGGCAGGGCAGGGCCAGCATAAGTCTGACAGACGGCGCCCTCTACCAATCAAACTAATCCAGGATCCCAGCTGAACTCAGGCCCTATCAGTACAGGAAAGCTGGTTGTGCACCCCTATCAGTGGCCTTGCCTATATCTATACCTGTGAACCTTTGAAAGTCAGTGGGCTCGAGACTGGGAGTGGGACAGGGGGCTGGATTTATGGCAGTGTGCATAATGTGCTGCATTAGATGCATATGCACATTGCTGATATGGTGGCAATTGTTGCAGCCTGCTTTGGGCACTACAGTGAACTGAAAAAAAGCAGTGCATATATTGTCTTCTGGTGAAAAATGGGGTTAGCGGTGATGCAGAAAACAATTCCCCTTCATTGGTGGTGTCAGACATAAATGAATTGTACAACTGCCCTTCTTCAGGTATAAATGGATTGTACACTTTCTCCCAGCAAGAAATAAATTGCACACTTCTCCTGCGCATACATAAATGAACTGTACACTTAACCTACCCATACATAAATGAATTGTAAACTCCTCCTGCCACCCCTTTTGCTATCTGACAATATGTCACTACTCCTGTCAGCCAATAGCTGCAATTCAGGAGCTAAAACCCATGACGCAAGCTAAACAGCTAGAATCTCAGGCAGATCCGGATAGTTCCTAAGTATGCATATATCACTACTGTGCCTTCCAGTGATATAAATGCTCCATATTCTAATAAACCATTATCAGCAGTTGTTCCAGGCATGTCAAAGAGTTATAGGGTAGCCACATTTTCTAGCATATATTGCTGTATTGCCCCTATAATATCACCTGGCCTCAGGCTCATATATACATTCTGAATTATCTGACATTTGCCAAATGTGCTGGTAAGGTTTTAGAGTACTCATGAACTAGATTTAGCTCATGGAGACTTTTTGTGTGAAATCCAGGTTTAGCCTCAATTCAGCAGTGGTGGAAAAGAAATTATATAGGCATTTTTACTACAGTATATTTCAGATGAGTGTCATATACTAGGATTGCCTTTGAGTCACAGTCTAGTCCCCTTGCATGCATGTCCCATAACATCTTTATTTAATCAATTATATTTATATACTACTGACAATTTAAATGGGATCTCCAAACTTTTTAAACAAAGGGCCAGTTTACTGTCCATCAGACTTTAAGGAGGGCTGAACTTTGGCCCCCAGTAGTAGAAAATGCCCCAGCGTCAGTGTGAGTGGACAGTGTCTCAGGCTTGGGGGTCAGTGGCAGTAAAAAGATTACATAGTGCCTGTGGTCAGTAGGAGGAGCAATAGTGCATCATCATTGGTGTTAATGGGAGGAATAATGCCTTATTGTTGGTGTCGGGGAGGAATAATGCCCCATCATTGATATGAATTTGAGGAATAGTGCCTTGTTGTTGGTGTCAGTAGAAAGAGTAGTGCTGCATTGTTGGTGTCAGTGAGAGGAATGTCTTCTCATTGTTGATGTCAGCAGCTTGAGGAATAGTGCCTCTGATCAATAGGAGGAAAAGTGTCCTAAGGGCCGGATAAAGTCAAGCAAAGGGCTGCATCCAGTCTGTGGGCTGCAGTGTGAGACAACTGCTTAAGGAGCTTACAATATAAGTTCCCTTTCTTATATATACATATATATACATGCTAGGGCCTGTTTGGACAGGAGCCAATTAACCTACCAGCATGTCTTTGAAACATGAGAGAAAACTGGAGTAAACCCATGCAAGCACAAAAAGAACAAGCAAACGCTATGGAGATAGTGCCCTGGCCAGATTCAAACTGGGGATCACAGTGCTACAAGGTAGATATACTAACCACTAACCCATGTGATTCTATGACATTACAAAAGTATACAGTTGAATATTTGTGAAAACCTTTGTCCTAAAATTGTATTGTTCTGCTGGAAAATGTTCAGTCCAAGGGCTTTGGCTTGAGATCACCCTATGACCTGAGCATAAAAATATACAATGTTCAGACAAAAAGCAGAGCTCTGCATCACTGTGGGATTCCTCTCCATGTCTGTTTCTGCAGTCATGATAAAAGATTAAATAGAGACACACTCTCCTGCATCTACTCCTTGAAATCTAAGAAGATACAACTTTATGTCTTGGCATGTTTGAACAGCTGTGTGGATGAGTTTAGAAGAAAGCAATTGTGTGCTTCAGGCAAACTCCATTAGGTAGCTAGAATATTTGTTATGATATGTCTATTGTTTGCTAGCTGTGCTTCCAAGTCTGACAGATAAGGTATACATCACCTGGTCACATGGACATTTTTAGAGAAGTGTCCTTTTTCGATGAGTAAGCATCACCTGCTCTATATTAACAAAACCATTGAAATCAGAGGTTCTCTCTTGTTTTAGAGAGAACATAGACAAAAAATGCCATTACTGACCTTACCCTTTGAAAATGTTAGTTTTCTGTCCATTGTGCTGGTCCACTGTACATTTGGGTTACAGACCTGGAGCCTGTATGCATGGCAAGAATTCTAACTACAGGCGTACCTTGGTTTATGAATTTAATGCGTTCTGCGGGACGTTTCGTATTGCGAAAAATTTGTAAACTGAAACGCGGTTTCCTATAGGAATGCACTGAAAACCAATTAATCCGTTCCGGAGGTCAGAAATAAGTAAAAGAAAAGAAAAGTCTTTTATCTGTTCAAAACTATTTATAAAAAGGCATAAATACTTTTTAAAGGCATAAATACTGTACAGGGACATGATTAAAAATTAATTTGTAAATGCATTGAAAACCAATTAATCCATTCCGTAGGTCAGAAAAAAGTAAAAAAAAAAAGTCTTATCTGTTCAAAACTCTTTATAAAGTGCACTTTAACCTGCCTAGCGGTAATCCCGAGTGCAGCTCGGGGTTAACTTTCAGTACCAGAAGCAGTAACCCCGAACTACACTCGGGATTACACTGCAACACTTCTCCAGCAATCCCTCGAGCACTTACCTTGTCCTGCGCTCCCGTGATGTCCCCCTGCAGCGTCCCCAGCCATGTCCTCTGGCAGATGCTGGCATCCGTCTTCCGGGTTCTGTTCCCTGCGAGCGTCGGGATGTACGGGGGGCGGAACCGGCGGGAATTTAAAAATTTTTAAAATGTGACATTCACTCAATACACTAAAATCTGATCGTATTACATTACTGTATCAAACCATTTCACATACATTTTATCCCGAGTGCTTTGTCCTGTGCCCTTCCTGCATTTTTATTGTTCTTTCTGCCTGGAAACTTCCATGGCATCCAAAAAACGTCACTTTAGGTCAAAAGTGGTTTTAGACCAGTTAGAGAACAGCGATAGTAAATTAGAATCACTTGCAGAATTGAGTGATATAATTCGTGGGGAAATTCTGATGACACTGAAAACGATTTTGCGACTTTGCTCAGTGATGTGCGAACTTGGCGCTCTATTTCAAATTTCAGTGTTTTTGGTTTGATTACATTATTGAATTAAATGTATTATTATATTATATTTTATGATTATTTATTATATTATAATTTATGATTTCGGGTTTCAAAATTTATCATACCCGGGATGTTTACTAGACTCTTTTTCGGACAGATTTCAGTGAGTTATTCCTAAGAATTACAGGCCTACAATAAAAAAACAACAAATTTTCATTGAAAACAATGTACCGCTTTGAGCACAGAAATACGGACATAATCAGACTGCTAGGGAGGTTAAAGGCATAAATACTGTACAGGGACATGATTAAAACATTTTTTTTAAATGCATTGAAAACCAATTAATCTGTTTCGGAGGTCAGAAAATCAGAAAAAAGTTAAAAAAAGTCTTATCTGTTCAAAACTCTTTATAAGGTGCACTTTAACGGCACGGGGCCGGCGCTATAAACGCTTCGTATTGTGAAAAAAATTTGCAAACCAAGGCATTATTTTCAATGGTTTTTCATTCGTAAACCAAAAATTACATTAACCGAGGCATTCATAAACCGAGGTACGCCTGTACTTTCTTTTGTGTTTTTTTTTGGTGTCAGAGACTCAGAAACTATTGAAACCAGAGAAAGCCAGGTGACTAGTATTTTCAGAAGAAGGTCAGCACTGGCAACGCCTGAAGCTGGTGATAAATTGAAGTTCAGCTGGTTCTGCAAACACAGGTTGAATTACGATCCACATGTGGCTGCTCCTGCTTAATAACAGCCGATCTAATGATTAACTTCTGTCAAACTGGCTTTTTGGAAACATTTTTCTCAGTCAGTGAGTCCCTCCTGTCAGAATCCAGTGTCTCAGTGGGGAGTATTCTTAAATCTGCTTCAGTTGTGTGGATGGAGGAATCCATTTGTTTTTTTTATTTCATTCAATCTGCTGGCTTACTGGAAACAAATGAATTATGTATGGCCAGCTTTAGATCTCATGCACATAGATGTTTATTTGCTGCAAAGTCTTCTAGCGTAAAAATAACTAGCACTTTAAAGTTGCAGGGGCCACATGCAGCTGCTAAAACAAATGAGGGGCTATATGCAGTTGCACTCGTGCAGGGGCGGACTGACCATTTGGAAACTTGGGCACTGCCCGAGGGCCCGGGGTCAGTAGGGGGCCCCATGAGATGTCCCTGGTACCTTTTTCATAGGCTTTTTTGAGTTTGGGCAAGGACACAGGGGCCCCATGATCCCCTAGTGCCCAGGGGCCCCATGAGTTGTCAGTCCGCCCCTGCACTCGTGTAAACGCTGATTGCTTCTACATCAGTATTTACCTGTGCAGGTGCACGCAGGCTATTTCCCTAAATGCACTGCTTTCGCGCTGTACATGTATGCACAGGTAAATGCAAATGCTGAAGCGATTGGCTTTTACATAAGTGCAGCCGTTTACATGAATTGGGCAGCACAGTGGCTAAATGGTTAGCACTACTGCCGGGCAGTACTAGGGTTGTTGGTTCAAATCTCAACTATGGCACCACCTGCCTGGAGTTTGCATGTTCTCCCTGTGCCTGCATGGGTTTCCTCCGGGTACTCCAGTTTCCTCCCACACTCCAAAGACATGCTGGTAGGTTAACTGAATCCCGTCTAAATTGTCCCTAGTATGTGTATGTATGAATGTCAGCTAGGGACCTTAGATTGTACACCCCTTGAGGGTTAGGGACTGATGTGAATGTACAATATATATGTAAAGCACTGCGTAAATTGATGGTGCTATATAAGTACCTATAATAAATATTAGTAACTATACGTGGCCAGGGGTTTCACACTGGAAGACTACAGCATATAAACGTCTGTGTGCATAAAGCTTTATTTATGAAGGTTTCTTTTAACAGAAATATTATTTTCTTTAACACAGTTTTCTTGCCTCAGTTTATCCCAAAAGACAGATTCAGCAAAAAGCTGATTTTAAGGGAACCTGTCAGAACCAACGGCAGACTGACCATTTGGAAACTCGGGCACTGCCAGTGGGCCCGGGGTCAGTAGGGGGCCCCATGAGATGCCCCTGGTACCTTTTTCATAGGCTTTTTTGAGTGTGAGCAAGGACACAGGGGCCCCATGATCCCCTATTGCTCGGGGGCCCCATGAGTTGTCAGTTCGCCCCTGGTCAGAACAGAAACAAAGAAAGCTGCTAATGCTGACTTGCTTTCAAAATATTCAAGCTGCCTTATTACTTCATGACTCACTAAGTTGTAGACCTGAAACAGTATGTGTATAAAGCTCCATACATTTATAGATTTCTTTTGATCAGCCTGCAAGCTAGACAAAAGAATTGCTGTCACAATAGCCAAACAGGAAACGGATCCAGAACAATTCTCCACGGGGCTGCTTTGATAAAAGTCAATTGAGTAATCGAGATGGGTAGCACCAACAGGGGCACCCATGGTTGGAATTTTAACTGAATCAGCAAGAATCAATAGATTTGCAACACATGTATGGAAGCCTTATGTCATTGACTACAGGCCAAAGCATTTTTAGCCGGGAATGTGTGTGTGTGCTTGCCTGTGTTAAAGGAGGGAGGAGTTGGTGGATCCTTGTCAAGGCCCTTTTCACACGAATGGACTGATCAGGTCCTCCTATCTGTTTTTCAGGCACACCCGATCAGACCACCCATTGCTCTATATGGGGAGGCGGATGTAAACGGACACGTGTCCATTTTCACCCGCCTGCATCTGATCCTGTCTGCCAAAAACTGATGGATAGGGATACATTACCCATCCACCTAGCGCAGGGGTAGGCAACCTGCGGCTCTCCAGCTGTTGCAGGACTACAAGTTCCATCATGCCTCTGCAAGTCATAGCTGTAACTGTCAGTTTTGTAATGTTGCAATGCATCATGGGAAATGTAGTTCCACAACAGCTAGAGAGCCGCAGGTTACCTACCCCTGACCTAGCAGTTCAAATCGGACGACAGTCAGATGTAAACGGACAGGCAGCCCATTTACATCCGCCCCCCCCCCCCCCCCTATAGAGAACAGTGGGCAGTATCAGCTCTGTACAAGCAGAGCAGACACGGAACTATCATCCGCCTGCTCAGCGAGGATTAGCGGACAGATCCTCTGCTGAGCAGGCAGATCCGCTTGATGGAGTCCGCCCTGTATGAGAGGGGTTTAAGCTTGTGAGGAATTTTTTTGAAGGCCACTTGAAGTTATTTTGGACTTTGCTGGTACTTTATGATGCCTTCAGTTATGTGTATATTTTCTTTTTTTTTTGGTACAAGTTTAGTTTAGAGAACACCTGTCAATCCAATTTTCTTTCCTAAAGTGAAAGTAAAGTCCACTTTGTAAGGCTTACCTGTAGGTACATAGTTACAGTGAAGGAAATAAGTATTTGATCCCCTGCTGATTTTGAATGTTTGCCCACTCACAAAGAAATGATCAGTCTAAAAATCGAATGGTAGGTGTATTGTAACACTGAGAGACAGAATAGCAACAAAAAATTCAATAGAAACAATAACAACAAATAGTCTAACAAATTATGCACTGATTTGCATGTTCATGAGGGAAATAAGTCTTTAATCCCCTGTCATTCAGCAGGATTTATGGCTACTAGGTGTCTTTCATACAGGTAACAAGCTGATATTAGAAGCAGTCTCTTAAAGGGAGTGCCGCTAATCTCATTTTGTTACCTGTATAAAAGACACCTGTCCACAGGAGCAATCAAACAATCAGATTCCAAACTCTCCACCATGGCAAAGACCAAAGAGCTGTCCAAGGATGTCAGGGACAAGATTGTAGACCTACACAAGGCTGGACTGGGCTACAAAACTATCGCCAAGCAGGTTGGTGAGAAGGTGACAACAGTTGGTGCAATCATTCACAAATGGAAGAAACACAAAACAACTGTCAGTCTCCCTAGGTCTGGTGCACCATGCAAGATCTCACCTCGTGGATTGTCAATGATCATGAGAACAGTGAGGAATCATCCCAGAACTACACGTAAGGATCTTGTCAATGATCTCCAGGCAGCTGGCACCACAGTCACTAAGAAAAACATTGGTAACACACTACTCCGACAAGGACAGTGCCCGCAAGGTCCCTCTGCTCAAGAAAGCACATGTCCAGGCCCGTCTGAAGTTTGCCACTGAACATGTGAATGATGCAGAGGAGGACTGGTTGAAAGTGTTGTGGTCAGATGAGACCAAAATCGAGATCTTTGGCATCAACTCAACTCGCCGTGTTTGGAGGAGGAGGAGTGCTGCCTATGACCCCAAGAACACCATCCCAACTGTCAAACATGGTGGTGGAAACATTCTGCTTTGGGGGTGTTTTTCTGCTAAGGGGACAGGACAACTGCACCGCATCAAAGGGACGATGGACAGGGCAATGTACCTTCAAATCTTGGGTGCGAACCTTCTTCCCTCAGCCAGGGCATTGAAAATGGGTCATGGATGGGTGTTCCAGCATGACAATGACCCAAAACACACGGCCAAGGCAACAAAGGAGTGGTTCAAGAAGAAGCACATTAAGGTCCTGGAGTGGCCTTGCCAGTCTCCAGACCTTAATCACATTAAAAATCTGTGGAGGGAGCTGAAAGTTTGAGTTGCAAAACGTCAGCCACCAAATCTTAATGACTTGGAGAGGATCTTCCATGAGGAGTGGGCCAAAATCCCTCCTGAGATGTGTGCAAACATGGTGGCCAACTACAGGAAATGTCTGACTTCTGTGATAGCCAACAAGGGATTTGCCACCAAGTACTAAGTCATGTTTTGTGAAGGGGATCAAATACTTATTTCCCTTATAAACATGCAAATCAGTTCATAATTTGTTAGACATGCATTTCTTTTGAATTTTTTGTTGCTATTCTGTCTCTCAGTGTTACAGTACACCTACCATTCGATTTTTAGACTGGTCATTTCTTTGTGAGTGGGCAAACATTCAAAATCAGCAGGGGATCAAATACTTATTTCCTTCACTGTACATAGTTAGTCTGGCTGAAAAAAGACAAAAGTCCATCCAGTTCAACCATTCAAAAAAAAAAAGTTATAATTCTATAACCACAGTTGATCCAGTGGAAGGCAAAAAACCCCCCAGAAAAGCATGATCCAATTTGCTCCTGCTGGGAAACAAATTCCTTTGTGATCCCCCGAGAGGCAATCTGGTACAGTACAGTACAGTAAACATCTCCTGAACTTGCAGCATTTAGGAGATATTCACACATCATGCAGCCAGTGATGTCACTGGTGCAAGCTTTGTGAAGGGACGGCACAGCATGCCAGAGCCGAGGGCTCCTGCGCGCATGCACGGGAGTGATGTCATTGCAGCTCTGGCCATTCATTCTGGTGAAGATGGTGGCACCAGGGAGCCATGACAGAGTGGCACTGGAGGTATGTTTGTCATAATGTACTAGTATGCGGTGCATACTTGTACATTACAATAAAACATGGACGCGAATTGGTTTCAATGCAGAAGTTTTGATTTGGCACGCTCCAGCTTTAGTAAATAAACCCCAAAAGGTCTGAGGGATAAAACATATCAGGAGAGACTTCAGGAACTCAATATCTACTGTCTGGAAGAAAGAAGGAAAAGGGGGAAAGAGGAGTCATGACTGAAACCTTTAAATACAAGAAGGGGGCAAATAAGTTTCAAGAGGGCAGTATTTTCAATATGAAGCCAGGAACAATTGAGTACTGTTCCGTGATACTTTTTTTTATTTGCATTAACATACAATTTTGAGGACAAGCTTTTCGGGGAATGTCCCCTTCTTCAGGTCTAAGCAGTACTGCTTAGACCTGAAGAAAGGGACATTCCCCGAAAGCTTGTCCTCAAAATTGTATGTTAGTGCAAATAAAAAAAGTATCACGGACAGTACTCAATTGTTCCTGTCGCAAATGCACTAATATGGCTACAATCACCTCAAGCAATATGAAGCCAAAATCAAGAACATGGGGACATGACCTCAAACTAGAGAAGGAAAGTTCAAAACTAATCTTAGAAGGTATTTTGATGAAAGAGTAGTTGATGCCTGGAATAGACTTCTAGCAGAGGTAATTATTCAATCAACAGTGGATTTAAACATGCTTGGGACAAACGTAGATCTATACGAAGACAAAAAAAGTAAAAAAAAAAAAAATAAACATACAGTAAATAAAAAATTGAGGCAGACTCCATGAAACTCTTGGTCTTTTTTTTCTGCCATCACTCTACTATGTTTCTAATTAAAGTCGAGCAGCTATTAGTACCTTCCCAGACCATTGAATTAGGTGATCAAATTTATATTTCATCACACTAAACAGAATTTGTCCATATTATAAGATAAATATCAGAGATACCCTCAAAAACATACAGT